CCGTGGGAAACGAACCCACAACCCTGGCGTTGCAAGCGCCATGCTCTACCAACTGAGCTTCAGGGGTATACAGGTGTACCTTTCCAAATCATGTACAATCAATTGAATTTACCACAGGTGGACTCCAATCAAGTTGTAGAAACATCTCAAGGATGATCAATGGAAACAGGATGCACCTGAGCTCAATTTCGAGTCTCATAGCAAAGGGTCTCAATACTTATGTAAATAAGGTTTTTCTGTTTTTTATTTTTAATACATTTGCAGAAATGTCTAAAAACCTGTTTTTGCTTTGTCATTATGGGGTATTGTGTGTAGATTGATGAGTAAAAAAAACTATTTAATCCATTTTAGAATAAGGCTGTAACGTAACAAAATGTGGAAAGAGTCAAGGGGTCTGAATACTTTCCGAATGCACTGTATATATATGTGAATATAAAAATACATATATATAAATAAATAAAACATGAATCAAGGCCATGATCTAAAATGTAATAAAACATGAATCAAGGCCATGATGTAAAATGATGCGGAATGTGGAATAGTTGATGAGTGGTTATATCAGGTCTGCCAGATGTGGAATATTTGAATTGAGTGGCTTTACATTATTCATTTAGGTTGAGTTGATCTTACTCATAAATACTAATGTATTATGTGCATGCAAATGCTTTGTTCTGAACTAATATTATCTTTCAAATATATATACACTGCTCAAAAAAATAAAGGGAACACTTAAACAACACAATGTAACTCCAAGTCAATCACACTTCTGTGAAATCAAACTGTCCACTTAGGAAGCAACACTGATTGACAATACATTTCACATGCTGTTGTGCAAATGGAATAGACAACAGGTGGAAATTATAGGCAATTAGCAAGACACCCCCAATAAAGGACTGGTTTTGCAGGTGGTGACCACAGACCACTTCTCAGTTCCTATGCTTCCTGGCTGATGTTTTGGTCACTTTTGAATGCTGGCGGTGCTTTCACTCTAGTGGTAGCATGAGACGGAGTCTACAACCCACACAAGTGGCTCAGGTAGTGCAGCTCATCCAGGATGGCACGTCAATGCGAGCTGTGGCAAGAAGGTTTGCTGTGTCTGTCAGCGTAGTGTCCAGAGCATGGAGGCGCTACCAGGAGACAGGCCAGTACATCAGGAGACGTGGAGGAGGCCGTAGAAGGGCAACAACCCAGCAGCAGGACTGCTACCTCCGCCTTTGTGCAAGGAGGAGCAGGAGGAGCACTGCCAGAGCCCTGCAAAATGACCTCCAGCAGGCCACAAATGTGCATGTGTCTGCTCAAACGGTCAGAAACAGACTCCATGAGGATGGTATGAGGGCCCGACGTACACAGGTGGGGGTTGTGCTTACAGCCCAACACCGTGCAGGACGTTTGGCATTTGCCAGAGAACACCAAGATTGGCAAATTCGCCACTGGCGCCCTGTGCTCTTCACAGATGAAAGCAGGTTCACACTGAGCACATGTGACAGATGTGACAGAGTCTGGAGACGCCGTGGAGAACGTTCTGCTGCCTGCAACATCCTCCAGCATGACTGGTTTGGCGGTGGGTCAGTCATGGTGTGGGGTGGCATTTCTTTGGGGGGCCGTACAGCCCTCCATGTGCTCGCCAGAGGTAGCCTGACTGCCATTAGGTACCGAGATGAGATCCTCAGACCCCTTGTGAGACCATATGCTGGTGCGGTTGGCCCTGGGTTCCTCCTAATGCAAGACAATGCTAGACCTGATGTGGCTGGAGTGTGTCAGCAGTTCCTGCAAGAGGAAGGCATTGATGCTATGGACTGGCCCGCCCGTTCCCCAGACCTGAATCCAATTGAGCACATCTGGGACATCATGTCTCGCTCCATCCACCAACGCCACGTTGCACCACAGACTGTCCAGGAGATGCCGGATGCTTTAGTCCAGGTCTGGGAGGAGATCCCTCAGGAGACCATCCGCCACCTCATCAGGAGCATGCCCAGGCGTTGTAGGGAGGTCATACAGGCACGTGGAGGCCACACACACTACTGAGCCTCATTTTGACTTGTTTTAAGGACATTACATCAAAGTTGGATCAGCCTGTAGTGTGGTTTTCCACTTTAATTTTGAGGGTGACTCCAAATCCAGACCTCCAAGGGTTGATACATTTGATTTCCATTGATAATTTTTGTGTGATTTTGTTGTCAGCACATTCAACTATGTAAATAAAAAAGTATTTAATAAGATTATTTCATTCATTCAGATCTAGGATGTGTTATTTTAGTGTTCCCTTTATTTTTTTGAGCAGTGTACATTTTTTATCAAATTTGTGTGTTTTATGTGATATTCATGGTGTTTCTCTTAATAATGCCAGTGTTTAATAAAACACAAAATATCTGTTTTTTGAGTAATTAATATACTTAAATCCCTAAATAATGTCCAGTTATGGATACAAACTGTAGGAATATCTATACATCTACCTGTGTTGAGTCTATCAAGATACAGTACATTTTGACTATTCATCAAGGGCCCAATTCTGACTTTAAGCCTTTCTTACGCGCACCTTAATTTTTTTATTTAACTAGGCAAGTCAGTTAAGAACAAATTCTTATTTACAATGGCGGCCTGCACCGGACGACGCTGGGCCAATTGTGCGCCGCCCTATGGGAATTGATTATGCAAAAAATAATGCCTTTGATCTATCAACCAATCACACACACACATATATATATATATATATATATATATATATATATATATATATATATAAACACACACTGAGTATAGAAACATTAAGAACACCTGCTCTTTCCATGACATAAACTGACCAGGTGAATCCAGGTGAAAGCTATGATCCCTTATTGACGTTACTTGTTAAATCCATGAATGGTCGGTATGTTCTCACCTCTGACAATATGAAGCTGATGAACCATGTCCTCCCGGTAGGACAGCTCCCTTTTCATCTGATCATGGAAATTATCTGGGGAGCAATTACAATAGCGGTATAGTCATGTTTAGTATAGCCTATAAACTATTATTTAAATACGGTAGCCTATACACTAAACTACTCTTTAATACCCCCCCCCCCCTCCCCCGTTGTCATTGGGTCAAAATGACCCGCCACTGTGTTGAACCAACTTTTATTGTATTTTTTTAAATATTTTTTGGATCATTTGTTTAGAAGGAGAACGTGAGACTTTCTGCCTCCTTCTCACAAATGATCCAAAAAATATATAAAAATGAAATAAAAGTTGGTTCAACACAGTGGCGGGTCATTTTGACCCAAGGACAACGGGAGGGTAAATACGGTAGCCTATACACTCTGGCATCCTGCTCGGGCAAAATTGAATAAAGCCTCCTAAATCACCACGTGCACAAACAAATAGTATGTATTTATATGTAAGTAATATGAATTGGATTGAAAAAGAAATAACAATCGAACCATGCGATAAAAAAACGGACTTGCACTAACACATATAGGTAGCTTAGTGGTTAAGAGCGTTGTGCCAGTAACCGAAAGGTCGCTGGTTCTAATCCCCGAGCCGACTAGGTGAAAACTCTGTCGATGTGCCCTTAAGCAAGGCACTTAACCCTAATTGCTCCTGTAAGTCGCTCTGGATAAGAGCGTCAGCTAAATGACTTAAATATCAAATATAACGTCGTGAAAACCATATCGACATGTTTTTCTTCAGCGGTCAATATGCTGATCATGATAAGCATGATATTAAGAGAAACACTCTATTCTCTAACCCCTTTGAATCGAAAACTGAAATTTGATCAGATGAACATTGAATTATACTTTTTAAATGTTGGAATTCTCGTTCCAATTTCTTCCTTAGCTCCACTTGCTCAACGAGCTGTCTCTGCAATTCCTCTGTAGAAAAGGAATGAAAAAAAATGTGTTAAAAATAATAATAATGTGGGGTGAAACTGTGAAACTGGCTGCGGGCAATAGGCTAAACGGTAGGCTAAATCATGTTAAACGATTCATGTTAATTTAAGCGATTGGTAAAAGGCCTAGGGTGAAAGCCATTCTGTTCTATTCTGTGGGGATCGTGTAGGCATAATTTAGGGATCATTCAAATTATTAAAGAAAGGCTATAATAAAAATATATATATATTTTTTTAAAGGCCAACATTTATAAATAACATTGTAATAATTATTATAATAATAGTTATTGTACGGTGTTACCTTTTGCAAGTTTTTCTACGTCTTTCTGAGTTTGTAATACTCTGCTAACATTGTGCGTTGCCTCGCCTGAAAACACACAGAGACAACATTTATAATGTTATAAAATATACAAAAATAGGCAATAAAATAGAGGCTGAATTATTTGTATACCAAAAGTTCTGACATAAATTTTTAAATAGCCTATTATCGACTGAGAAGTGCAGCACTTGAACTAACCCTCGTTCAGTTCTTCTCTCGGGCTCTCCTCACTGCTTTGGCCGTTATAAGACTTCGTTTCAACCTCCTCCACTGTCGAAGAAGGCTCCTCTCTACTGACACTGTCGTCTGAATAAACAACAAATACATCGAATGGAAATCAATGAGTCTCGTTCCTTTTCACGAAATGTATTTTATTATAACATTATAACAGAACAACGTCCAACCTTTCGATTCCACAGTGTTTTTATGGGAATTCGTTGCTGAACCAAAAGCATATGGACTGCTCCTTTGCTGCATATCACTCCTGTCCGGTGAATACATCTAGATAAAATGGACAGGATAATGAGGACAGTTGGTGAATTGCATTCAATCATGCTCTCTGACATTTGGGACAAATTGTGTATTTGAACGGCCTTTGATTCTCTGCTATTAACACAGACAAAACAAAAGTGTGCGTAAAATGAAAAATAAGCCCAATGTGTGCGTGAAAGCAAGAGGACGATGACTTTTGGATTAGTCAATGAATTAATGGTGGGCTATTGTTGCTTTAATTCCTATCTGTGAATGCTTATTCATAACAAACAAAAAAGTATCTTCCTTATTATGTAGGACATCTAATAGAAAGAGTGGGCCCATTTCAATCACTCACTTCAACAAAAGGTGTGGTAGTATTGCTCTCCGGAAGCTGCTTGCCCTGTCTCTCTCTGTCTGAAGACAGCGCCACGTGTAGAGGTGGGTTCATTCTCTCGACCACAGCGGCCTGCTCCGGCTCTGATTTCGATTCTGGGCAGTTTGGTGAAGAACCGTGTTTCAAGTTTAGAACTGGGACAGCGGGGCTCTTGCGGACCTCAATGGTGTGCGGAAGTGACTCCTCCTCATCCTCTTGTGACTTATTGGTTTCCACATCCACGTCCGTCTCTCCCACGCTGTCCACGCTTCCGGGGGACACGGACGTGTAACTCGAGCTCTCGCTCAGGAAATCCGGTGACAGGTAGCCAGCTCGAGCCACGTTGTACGAGCCCCGGTTACCGTAAAGTTTGGCTATACTCTCCACGTCTTTGATGACGGGTCTGAATGCAGAGACGTAGCTGATCTTCCGAGGTAGAACTGGCCTTATGCAGTCCATTGGCCTTGCCTCATCCCCAAACTTGTCGTCCTCATTCCGGGTGGACTGGGTGCTAGAGCATTGCTCACTTTCCATCAGACTGTCCCTCGGAGTGTTGCTACTTCTGTCACTCTGCTCGGATGCGTCCAGCTCACTCTGTCTGGCGCACAGGAGCTCTGAGTGCGGTTTGGGCTGGGCCTGGGGCTGGGGCTGGGGGTAGGGCGGCATGGGGAGGCCACCTGCAGTAGGCCAGAACATGGGGAAAGAGTGGTAGGCGCTGTCCTTGGTGCCAGGCCAGGAGAAGACCCCGGAGAGGTGGGCTTTGTTCTGCTCTCCTCCCATCACACCGACAGCCTCCTTCTTCTGACACAACCCGAAGGCCGGGAACCCGTAGGGATGTGGATAAAGCGGCGGAGGGAGTTTCACATTCTGCAGCATACCGAAGCTCTTGCTGGGCACCGGGATAACGGGATAGCTGCGCGTGATGCTCGTCACACTCCCCATGCCTCCCCGGTTGTCCTCGCAGCGGAGGATTTTAGGGGGGATCTCCGGTGAGTCTCTCCTGGGGAGGTTGCTAGGTCCTTGATGTGGTTTCAATGGAAAGGAACGCTCAGACCCGTGACCGTGCACGGGCAGCGTCCTCTTCCGGCTGCCCCCGTTGAACATGGCCTTCACGTCCTCCCATGCATGTGCCACGTCGTCAGGTGAGCCCTTGTCAGTCAGTTTGAGGTGTCTCCTCCAGGAGTTAAAGTTAGCTGCGTCTGGCTGGGTGTACTTTGACTCTGGTGTACGGTGAGAGTGGAATATGAACTTGTTTGGAGAAAAATACATATTGCAGAAGGAGCACTTGATGCACTTGGCTCGGGAGCTGTTGTACCTGGCTGGTATAAAGTTACCACGGCTCCCCCACGCGCACTCGTGGGACACGTCAAACGCGAAGTTTTCCGGCAGTTTCGGAGGGTTGTGAGCTCCTAGAAACGATTTACAAAGCCTCTCGGCCTCGCGCTTTGTGATCATCCCGCAGCGCCTCGAGGAGATGGGCATGGCGCCCGCGCGCCTAAGTATCTCCAGCTGCACCGGGGTGCACTGCACGCAGGTGATGCCCAGCGCCACGCGCCGGTTGTGGATCTCGTTGTAGCTGTAGTTCTTCAGCAGGGTGTTGGAGATCTGCGCCAGGCACAGTCTCTCCTGGCCATCTAGCACCAGGCAGACTATGGGTATTCCATACAGGGCGGTCTCGCTGACCTGGTTGGGTTTCAGGTTGGGGTTGAATGTTGGGAGGTCCTGTTTGGAGCTCGGTGGAGAAGAGCTGGAGTCCCGTCCTGCAGGCAACAGACTGGGATTGGACTCCATTACTGGAAACCTGCAGAAAAAAATAACAAAACAATTATTATCGTGACAATGAAAGTTTTTTATTTATTTTTCTTGTTTCCTTTTGGTTTTGACCAATAACACTTATAAGCTAATTTACAATTGTATTTATTTATAATGATTTTAAAACAATCCTTATCCTGTTTCCAGCTTGTAAAAAAATCAAGAGCTTTGTTATAACATTGATTAGCCAATAATAACAGCAAATAGTCATAATAAAAATCTGACAATTAAATAGACATAATAATAGTCATCATAAAAATTATAAAATAGACCTGTATTGTTTAAATAGCCCATTCGAGCAATATAAAAAGTATAGTCTAATGTATTATCTGTATGCATAAAAGCTAATACTTTCACGAGAAACGCTTGGTGCTTTTCTAAGGATTTTGTAAAAACCTATTTTCCAAATCAGATCTAGTGCTATTGCCGCCTACACCAGTCGTTAACGTGATGAGAGCTGACTAAGCCGGGCTCAGAGCTGACCTTAGCCGGGACGAGAGCTGAGGAGTAGCGCTGAACAATGGCCAGCTAAGAGGCTAACACGATACAGAACAGAAGGAAAATACACATTTAGCCATGCCAAGCAGCTTAACCAGGAGGTTTGAACCTGTAAGCAGCTTTCTGTGTAGTTACCAGGGTTCAGCTTTATAGGTCTTGGATCAACAGAGCCACTAAAAGAGGTACATTTAAGACGTTTCAAGAACGTATTCGTTTTTTTGTTTTTCGATTAAGTGACATGTAAGATGCATTTTTAATTCCTCATTAAATATATATTGCAATTGATACTATCTAATTTTACAACAACAAAAAAGTATAGCCTATAAGCCATCAACGAGCACGCAGATCAATAGGCATATTGCTGATTGGTTAACAGCAAGTCAATAGATTGTTGTATTTTATTTGGAATGTTTAAATTTTTTTAAACATTATGTTTAAAGATTGTTGCATGAAATGAAATGTTTGGCTCTTAATGTAATTGGCTCTGGGTGTACCCGAATGCATTAGGAAATCATGTCATTTTCAATGGCACAACAAGGTAAAAAGGCTGAGACGCATTAATCCTTTCTTATAACAAAGCTTACCTTTTTGTACCGTGCAAACCCTTCTTCGTTGTGTCAGCAACACAAAAAAAAAGAAAAAAAAGAACAGTGATCAAGTATTGTAATTAGGTAATGAATAGCGTTCACTCGCCCGATGGTTTGAGCAAAATAAGATCAACACCGAATTTTTGCCGGAAGGTTTTTCCCAATAATAATGACGTCTACCTGCGTCTGAATGCTCTTGCATCCCTCGCTCGAGCTCGACTCTCGCACCGTGTGTGCGTTGCGTAAAGAGAGTGTCCACTAGGTAGAGCAGCCAGCCCACTCCACTCCAACCAAATTCCCCGCGACGCCCTCAACACCATCAAGTGACAGCTGAAATAATGGCAAGGCACTCCCACTTAGTACCAGCATCTTTACATTAACCGTTTGCCTTCGGGATCAATGGAAAATATCAGCGCTCTTATAGGCCTGGGGGACAGTTAAATGTGTCCGTGAATCCTTTTCCCATCAAAATTCAAGGAGAGAGATACAATAAAGAAAGACAAGACTATAGGGTTTAAACATTGATAGCAATTGACTTAATGGGTTCCAACATTTATTCCAAGGTTAGCGGCACTTAATGATTGATTGTCTCTCAGTATATATCTTGCTTTACAAGATCTTCTTCAACAGGAGGCAACAGTCTAATATTTAAGCAACAGTCTATGGAAAGTGGATGTCTAGGCTAATGTCTGAGGACTATTGTGTCTTATTCATTATTTAAAACCGTTTATGGTGCGATCAATTACAGGCATTTCTCCCTTGCAGTCTCAGCGCTAAAATTGAAAGGCAATATAAAATAATCATGTAAAATGTGTATTTAAAAGGTATGTTAGCCTGTCATTATCAAAATGAGGAAATAACATAACAAGATAAACAAGATAGCCAGCTACCTAGCCCTGTTGCCCAATCTAACCTTATAAGCATAGCTAGTGTGGCATGACCGGACCGGTTCCGACCATCATCAACCAAATACTTAAACTGTCTTAGAAATTAGGGGTATTTTAGAGGATGACACCTAGCAAGATAGTTAGCTGGCTAACTATAGCTACTGAAACAGATGATGTCGTTTTGCTATGTTTTGGGGGGAGAACATTGTTTGCATTCATCAGCTCGCTAGCTTTTTCTCTGACCAGCGCTGTCCCAGAGCTTAGCGAAGTGTGTGTCTGCCTCTTGCAGCAGACAGGTGCGGAGACAACCAGCATCATAGCATGCATATCAGTGAACGGCATTAATGAACGTGTTAAATTATTATGTGAAGTGCAGTCATATTCAGGTCCTGATTGGTCAACAAGCTTATTTGACGTGTCGCGTAGTGTTATTTGATGCATCAAATAGTTTTTTTTTTTTTGACGTGTATCTTTTTTGACATGCAAAGACCCCAAAAAGCATATCATAACAGACAGATCCCATGCATGTTTAGCTTATCTATGTATTTAAAAAATATATATATACATTATCAACGGTCTCTAACGTGCTACACGGTGTTATAACAGCAATTGTCCTCATGAAATGGTTCTGAATACTTTACCCAATCAGATGGTGTTAATGACGACAACACAACACAACCCAACCTTGAACCGTTGCTGCAGCTATCAAATACATCATTCACCCAAATAAAACATGCATTGTTATTGAAATGATATGTGTACTGGGATTTGGCATGTGGTAAAGACAGACTGGCAGCGAAGACACAGCGATAGTGCATGAGGGTTGAGATGATTATATGGGGTACAGGCATTCATCATATGTTACGTTCCCACGGACTCTCTCTCCCTTCTGCTCAGAAGCCTCCAGACATGAGTCTTGACAATGACCGGCTGTTCTAGAGGTCGTTCAATCATTAGGCAGCAATCATGTCACCTTTCACGCATTTTTTATAAGCAAAACATAACACATTTCCCCTAATCATTTTCTAAGATTTCAGACAAATGTAACACACTGGATACAAAATAAATGTTGCTTTTGGTAATTTGGGTAACCACATCAGACCTATACCCAAAATAAGGTGTAAAGAAAACATGGTTTTCATCTAAACATTAACAATCCATTGTAGCCTAAATGTTTTCATGTCGTTCGACTTGACCAAAGGAGTCAGTTTAGCGCATGTGTGTTACTGTGTTTGCCCCTGCCGTTTAAAGCTTGCACGCGCACCGACCATGGCCCGGGTCCACTGTAATATTGATGGAGGAGTGTGACCCGATAGGTCCCTGTGCACGGTCCTATATCGACTTTCACGACCATGATACTCTCCTCCTCCTCAACAACAAGAATTCAAATTTTATACTGTAATTATTCATCGCTTTAAATTATTCAGAGAGCTAGGTGGATGCCACACTGTCAGCCATTGTCTTGTAGGTTCAGGATGAACTCATGATGGTGTTTAAGTTTAGCTTTAGTTTAGCACAGGTAGGCCTACACGTACACGGAACCAGCAAGCTTTAACATTTTAATCAGAACAAAGTATCTTTCTATTTTTTCGTTTTGAAGCTTTATGTCTTATATTAACTACCAGCTGTCACAGCTGGAAATTAACTTGGTCCATGTGTAGTCTAGAGAATAAACTGCACCAGAATACCTGACTTGTTGAAACGAATTAAGCTTTTTTCAATATAGATATGCAAAATTTTGACACTGAAGAACGGTGAATGAATCTAGTCTAAATGATAAGACTGTATTTTTAAATGCCTGATAAAAATCCTTGTAAAATAATACATTGAGATTTAAATTGTCATAAAATTATGATTAAAATGATTAACCAAAGTCAATCATTTGAGGGACACAATCTTTGATGTGCTGTAAAATGGCACCAATGATGCATTTTTTTTGTGCAAATAAAATACATTTATCCAACGTCTAAACTGTTGATAGGCTATACAAATATAAGTAGACTGTATATTTCAAGAACAGAAAAAAGTGAATAAAAAAGTCTTAAACCTTTTTAAACCTGAAAAATAGTAGGCCTATAGGAATTCATGCAAACTCTGCCTGTTCTCATGCTGTTAAAACGACAAAATGCTAATGGCCCTATTCTTTAGTACAGGCAGAGGGCTGCCTGCAACTAATAACACATTGAGTTGTAGGCTATACCGTTGCCAGTTAGTGGTGGTCCCATCTGTCAGAGGGAGACCTCGCGTCGCCTGAATAGAGGAGCAACCCACTGGGCCCAGACCATAGCTGTGGGAAGTAGGGGTGCTGAATAGAAGAAAAAACTATAAATTAAAGGACAAAATTAGTGCACCGGGCCTTTAATAGTGATGTATTAGCGGGCGGATGTATCCATCTGCAGCTCAGGCGAAAAAACGGAATGCCCTGACTTTATGTAATATGCTATTATTCAAATGAAAACAAAACTACTGAATTAGTCCTTCATTCTCTCTGGTAAATTTGACATACACAAAAACAAATATTTGAAATCTGTCCACAAATGCAATATATTTAAAAAAAAACTTGAAATCTAATATTTAATAAAATCTCTAGAATTAGTCAATAACAAATAAAAAACGACGTATTCTTCCAACTCTATCAGCTGTAATATCTGATCTTATTGTATTTGTTTTATTGAAGGTACTTTTGAAACCGTTGTCACCTGGCAATTGATGTGAAGGGATTTTTATTATGTTTTAGTATTTTGTTTTATTTACTTTGATGTTATTGTATGTTTCTTTAGAGAACATATGGGTGTAGCGATGTTTTTGTTATTTTATTGTAATTTGAAACATAGGTTAACCAATGCAGGTTATTAAAACACCAATTTAATAATAGTAAATATTTATAGCATCACTATTCATTAAGCCCATAAGAATGTGAAATGCTGACCCCTTCCTTCAAGCTTGCTTAAAAATGAAATTCGAATTAATTACATTTATTTATCCATAATCATTTCACACAAGTTTA